GAGTTTTTAAATGTCACGTCGAGTATTCGTGGTGACGTCATTACGTCGCCGTTACTTCACTGCGTCACGTGATCCGCACCGGGCGCGGTCTACAAAATGGATTCCTCCAAGCAGACAGATGGAGCAGAGCAGGCCCAGTCTTGGCAAACAGGTAGAAATGCATCAATAGTATGAAAATATTTTACTAAAAATTAATCTTCCGGTTCAACTACCGTAAGGAAACAGAAAATTAATTAACTTCCTGACTGTTTGGAGCTCGTTGCGAACCGGTGTTACACCATATTTTGTGACCACCGTATATTGTGACCATAGGGGGCGGTGTTGCTGTTGTAGGTCACAGAATATGGTGTAACACCGGGTCCAATCGACCGAACCAGAACCAGCTTCCTCTGACCTTGTTTCACAAACTAAAAGCAAAAAATATTCATTTCTGAACCTATAAAAACATCTATAAACTTATTAATCTCTAAAACTAAACTTAATGTGCACCACAGCTGGTGGTGGTGCGAGGTGGTCGACCCCCCCACTGTTTTTAGTTTCATTTTTGACGTGCTGCACGTTTCTTTCACTTTTGCAGCTTAATAATAAAAACTAATAGTTTAGTTGTTCCTGTGATTTATTTGCAGTATGATAAATGGTAGGAGCAAATTATACGCTCCCAATGTTTTGAGCCTTTTTTGCGGTTTTATTTATTTATTTATTTTTGTATCTTTAGATCCTATGATGTCATCAAGTACTCGAGTTCTACTCGAGTTTTACTATGTTGATGTAGAGTTTAAAAATTATGTAGTCGTTCAACCCCTTATTTATATACTTTGTATATATATATATATATATATATATATATATATATTCGTCTTTTAGCGTTACTATTGTTTAATTATAAGAACTAAAGCAGCAGAAGCAGCCTCTCGCACCGTGAGACACAGACTGAGCGCACTCCTGCTGCATCGCTGTCTCCTTTGAGGACCAGAAGTTTCGTCACATGCGCAAGTTGCACGTGTCTGTTCGATGATGATGACACTCAGAACACATTAAAATCTGTTTTTGTTTAGTTATTTTGTACACACACACACACGCACGCACGCACGCACGCACGCACGCACGCACACACACACACTACCCAAGCAATATTTAATCTAATAATCAAAGATTTTCAACCTAATAAACAATGGCTGATAGTCGAATCAATAGCTTTGTTTACATGAGCAAATTTTTTTTTGATTGGATTGAAATGTTTTCAGATTAAATCATCTGAATGTATCGTTTACATGGGCACAATCCGATCATAAGTGTTCACATGCAGCAAGCTTTTATTCAGAACAGAAGTACTGAGTGGTAAACTTTCCTTAAAAAAACACCAAAGAAGTTCTACTTCCTTGATGAACGTAAACAAACCTCAGTGTCCAAAATGGACCTGCGACCGGTTTTAACGACGGTGGAGACGTTACTGCACTCCCTGACTGAGCTGCAGGTGATACAGATCATTTTGAGCTCTTTCAAAGTTTCTAGTAGAAATGTGTCACTCACTGACCAGTTTTACTTCCCCGACATATTAACATCTAGCCAGGTGGAAATACGTGAGGTAGACAGGTCGCACATGAGCAGTCAGGTCAGTTTTCCATAATCTGAAAAAAATGATCAGATTAAGTGTTTACATGCACACAGTTTAGATTATGAATCAGCATAAACCACCCGTCTCATTCTGATTACAAATTCATTCGGATCGAGCTGAATCAGCTCAGAATAATCTGAATGGGGTGTTTACAACGCATTTTTATTCCGAATGGCCGTTTAATCCGATTACTTATGCCCATGTAAACATAGTTAATGAATAAGCATACCAGAACTTTTAACAACAAATGGTTTAAATTTTATTTTGAGCATGTTGCCAATGACATTTTAAGCTTCATTTGCATTACCCTAACTTTGCGATAGTTTGTGCTATCAGAAAATCTCTTAACGATTTCTAAAAACTGAGAAAGTGCACTTTACAACCAATTAGATTTATTACAGTAGCCTGACTCTTCCATGAAACAGCCCCTCTGTGTTCCTCCTCCCACACAGACATGACATAAACATGTGAGCTCAGCCCACTCTTGTCACCTCCTTCTACTGTATGCGGAACGAGGGGGTTAGGGGGTTAAATCAGGAACTGTCCCCCCCAATCGGGACAGTTGAAAACTTTTTTCCCCCCACTTTCATTTTTACAGATGACGAAGATCCATTGCAGCGATAGGGAGCATTAATTTATGTCTATTTGACATGGTTGTCAACCGGACAACCTTGAGTCGAGATCTGGTTGTCCAAGACAAAAATACAGTAGTATATATATATATATATATATATATATATATATATATATATACAGGTCCTTCTAAAAAAATTAGCATATTGTGATAAATGTCATTATTTTCCATAATGCAATGATAAAAATTAAACTTTCATATATTTCAGATTCATTGCACACCAAGTGAAATATTTCAGGTCTTTAATTGTTTTAATTCTGATGATTATGGCATACAGCTCATGAAAACCCAAAATGCCTGTCCCAAAAAATTAGCATATCATGAAAAGGTTCTCTAAACAAGCTATTAACCATCTGAATCAACGACGTAACTCTAAACACCTGCAAAAGATTCCTGAGGCTTTTAAAAACTCCCAGCCTTGTTCATTACTCAAAACCGCAATCATGGGTAAGACTGCCGACCTGACTGCTGTCCAGAAGGCCATCATTGACACCCTCAAGCAAGAGGGTAAGACACAGAAAGAAATTGCTGAACGAATAGGCTGTTCCCAGAGTGCTGTATCAAGGCACCTCAGTGGGAAGTCTGTGGGAAGGGAAAAGTGTGGCAGAAAACGCTGCACAACGAGAAGAGGTGACCGGATCCTGAGGAGGATTGTGGAGAAGGGCCGATTCCAGACCTTGGGGGACCTGCGGAAGCAGTGGACTGAGTCTGGAGTAGAAACATCCAGAGCCACCGTGCACAGGCGTGTGCAGGAAATGGGCTACAGGTGCCGCATTCCCCAGGTCAAGCCACTTTTGAACCAGAAACAGCGGAAGAAGCGCCTGACCTGGGCTACAGAGAAGCAGCACTGGACTGTTGCTCAGTGGTCCAAAGTACTTTTTTCAGATGAAAGCAAATTTTGCATGTCATTCAGAAATCAAGGTGCCAGAGTCTGGAGGAAGACTGGGGAGAAGGAAATGCCAAAATGCCAGAAGTCCAGTGTGAAGCACCCACAGTCAGTGATGGTCTGGGGTGTCATGTCAGCTGCTGGTGTTGGTCCACTGTGTTTTATCAAGCGCAGGGTCAATGCAGCTAGCTATCAGGAGATTTTGGAGCACTTCATGCTTCCATCTGCTGAAAAGCTTTATGGAGATGGTTTCATTTTTCAGCACGACCTGGCACCTGCTCACAGTGCCAAAACCACTGGTAAATGGTTTACTGACCATGGTATTACTGTGCTCAATTGGCCTGCCAACTCTCCTGACCTGAACCCCATAGAGAACCTGTGGGATATTGTGAAGAGAAAGTTGAGAGACGCAAGACCCAACACTCTGGATGAGCTTAAGGCCGCTATCGAAGCATCCTGGGCCTCCATAACACCTCAGCAGTGCCACAGGCTGATTGCCTCCATGCCACGCCGCATTGAAGCAGACATTCATGCAAAAGGATTCCCGACCAAGTATTGAGTGCATAACTGAACATGATTATTTGAAGGTTGGCCTTTTTTGTATTAAAAACACTTGTCTTTCATTGGTGGGATGAAATATGCTAATTTTTTGGGACAGGCATTTTGGGTTTTCATGAGCTGTATGCCATAATCATCAGTATTAAAACAATTAAAGACCTGAAATATTTCAGTTGGTGTGCAATGAATCTGAAATATATGAAAGTTTCATTTTTATCATTACATTATGGAAAATAATGACCTTTATCACAATATGCTAATTTTTTGAGAAGGAACTGTATATATGCACCAACTGCATGCTTCCTCAAAACTTTCGAGATCTGTGGCATTGTGCTGTGTGATAAAACTGCACATTTTAGAGTGGCCTTTTATTGTGGTCAGCCTAAGACACACTTGTGCATTAATCGTTCTGTCTCATCAACATCTTGAAATGACACACCTGTGAGGGGGGTGGATTTTCTCAGCAAAGAAGTGTTCACTAACACAGATTTACATAAATCTGTGAACAATATGAGAGATAAAGGCCTGTTGTATTAACAATGTTTTTGATCTTTGAGTTCAGCTCATGAAAAATGGGAGCAAAAACTAAAGTGTTGCATTTATATTTTTGTTCAGTGCATATTATAAAGTGCACTTTAAGTGGAAGTGTGCAAAATTCTGCTGCCTGACATTATATCTTTGTCCTTTTTCAATCCTCTTGGCTCCTGTACTTAACAAAAAGGCAGTGGTGTATTCCTGTCGACCTAATCACATCGCCGATTTAATAAACTTTGCTGTCTGTGTTAAAGCACTTAAATCTATAATGACTGCTCTGTTCTCATCTTCTCTTTTCATATTGCCATGCTGAACTAACAGGCTTGCAACAAGTGCATGCATCTTTGTGAAGCAATATAAAAATGGGAATAAAAAGTCCAAGACAAAAATCTGCATTCAGAAAATCAGGCAGATAGCATCTACTATCATTAAACTAGGAAGTAATTGGAACTGTCCCTTTAATTAATGACACCTTATCTTTTTACCAGTGAAGAAGACGGAAATGGAGGAGTGAGAATTAGGGGACAAGGTAGGACGGAAAAAGAAGTGGGGAGATAAGGGAGATATAAAAAGAGCAGAATAATTGATGAGGTATTACTGGAGGTGTTAAGACACAAATGGAAGAAGAAGCATCTAAGGAGTATATTTTAACATTTATTATAGAATACTAGTGTTAATTTGACGTTGTGGAGTTATTTTACATTTGTACAAAAGGGAGCGCTAATAGTGCTCTATACCCAGAACCTCCACAGTCTTCTTCTAACTTGTGTACAACTAAACTAAATTCATAGCATTTTAATGACGAGCTGTTAGCACATACAACCTTCTGCTTCAGACATACTGTACAACATCTGGTCACCCAAATGATTATTGAGCATATGTTCCAACTTTTATCTGTTGCTTGTTTTACTGGACACTGAAAGCCTTTGTGCACTCGAGTTGATGAAGCAATGTAAAAATGTTTAAGAGAAGTATAAAACGGTGAGGGGAAAACAAAATAAGAAAACCTGCTGTTAAATGTCAAAAGTGCCCCATTGTTAACAAAAAAGAAAGATTTTAAATTATTCAATTATACAACTTTCCTTACTTTGAAACAAGAGTTTTGCCCAGTTTTATTTAAAGAAATGCCGTTTCATGCATTTACATTGTTTACCTCCAGGTTGTGACCCAATACCAGTGGAGTACCTGCGGTGGGGAGACCCTGAACCCATAGCTGCTGTGGTCTTTGCCTGTCTCGGTCTGATGGCCACGTTCTTTGTCACTGCGGTCTTCATCCGGTAGCAAATCGCTTTCTGAATTCCTGCATGTTTAAATTCTTTCTGGTGTATTTTATTTGTCTTCACTAATGAAACTCCTGTTTAATGTGTGTGTTCAGTTTTCGGGACACCCCTGTTGTGAAATCCTCCAGCAGGGAGCTGTGCTACATTATTCTAGCAGGGATCTGCCTTGGATACCTGTGCACCTTTACCCTCATAGCAAAGCCCCATGTCATCCACTGCTACCTCCAACGACTGGGAATCGGCCTGTCACCTGCCATGAGCTACTCTGCTCTTGTCACTAAGGTGAGAACTAGATAAGGAATGTTGTGATGAAATTGCAGTAAAGTCTTCACTGGAAATGAGTTGGGGTTTTTCATTACAAATATATAATAAATGCAGTGACTAGAGTGTAGAAATACTAAAAGCAAATGGCAAGAAATAGATGCAGCATGTTTGGTAAATGTAGTTTGTCCTAACGATGATTTGTCTGTGACTCCAGACAAACCGCATCGCTCGGATCCTGGCAGGAAGCAAGAAGAAGATCTGTACAAAGAAGCCTCGCTTCATGTCTGCCTGTGCTCAGCTGATCATTGCCTTCCTCCTCATACTGCTGCAGCTGGGCATCATAGTGGCTCTTTTTCTTATGGAGCCACCAGAGGTAAGCCTTGTGTGAGGCACTTCAGAGAAGGTTCATATACAGTAGATCCTCGTTTATCGCGGGGGAGCCATACCCTGAAGCCCCGCGATAAGTGAAAACGGCAAAGTAGGGATATTAGCAAAGTAGTAAGTAGTAGTTTATATATATATATATATATACATATACATATATATACATATACATAT